TGCCTCTTTTCCTTCCCACACTGGAGTGGTCTGTGCCTCTTCTTTTAAAGCAGGGAGTGGGAAAAGACAATAGTGCATTTCTTTTTGATTGCCCCTTCCATGAGTGTTTGGACTGAACCAAGTGAGTTCCCTGGCAGTGTGAAATAGTGTGACAAAAAACTGAGTTTTGAAGCCACATTCTGAGCTGCCCTTGGAAAGATGTGGCAGGTGGCAAACTCCCCAAGGAATTGTGTTGACTTCTATTTCTGTTCCATCCTCTTGCTGTAAGAAAGATTACATTGGTCCCTCTGCAGGCTGATGTTTTATTTAGTCTGTTTATTTCCACCTGACTGTGCTCAGCTCTCCCTCCAGCAATTTACTGTAATTCTCATCAATGAAAAAAAGTAGGTTATCCTAGCACAGTTTGTCTAGGTTTGGGTGGAAGAGGTTTTGCTGTGAAGTTTTAGCGAGTGAGAAATCTCTGATGCTGCTCAGCTAGTTTCACCAGCACATCTGGCTACTTGTCTGCAACTTGCAGCTGTAGTGGCTTGTGTTGTGTCACACTTCTACCAGAACTGCAGGAGAACATCTGCCCTTCTGTGTATGTAGTGTGATGTGAACGGAGGATGGTGCAGCTACTTGCACCTTGAAAGTCAGGGAGATTTGTTCAGCCTGTACTCATGTTACAAGGTCAGCTGGCTGTTACCAGCCCAAATTAGCCTGTATGGGTTAATCTGACTAGCTGCAGAGTAATGCTGTGGTCCCCCATGAAGCTTTTGGCATAGGCTAGAGCTGGGTGGGGATGGCAATACTGGTAGAGCCCAAGAAGATTGCTGTGATGAATGTGGGTTTCAAGGGAAATGGAATCTGGGCAGCATAGGCTCAATACTCCTTCAAGCTTCCTGTGGTATGGTGGTTCAGGAAGTGATGTTTAACTCAGCAGGAGTTAGTGTCAGAATATATCCACTGTTTAGTAGTTGTAACATGAACACCTTAGTTTTGGTATGAATTACTTCAAATTGGAAATAAACTTTTTTTATAGGAAAAAATGTGCAAGTTGAGGCTTTGTCTAGCCTACAGAAATGTTCCTTATGTGGACAACTCTTGAAGAGTTTGCACAAAGCCAAGGTCCTGCCACAGGCTTAATGCTAAATCCCTACTTTCTTCTTAATCTCAGGGATTCTGTCTCAAGTTCTCCAACCTGAATTAACATCTGTCTCTCCTCCAGCAAAGTCAAGCCCAGCAGAAGGGTCACCCTGACCAGTTTCAGACCTGTGCCAGGTCCCAGAGAAGAGGACAGAGGGGACTGCACCCTCCCCAGACAGCACAGTCTTCAGGGTTGAGGTGAGTAGCAGCAACAGGAATTTGAATGGAACAGATAAAAACACAAAGCAGCAAAGGCTAAGCCTGTATTTTAGGAAGCTATTGGTCTGATGTAACAATTAAATGGAAAAAAAAAAAAAAACCTCATGGTTAAGAGGCTGCCTGTGGGCTATTGTGTGTTTTGGACCTATTTGAGATTGTGTTTTGGTCTTGGGGCCTTTTAAGCACCTTTGAAAAGCTGTGAAATTCATGGTCTCTTAAATCATTACTGTGGTTTCCTTCAGAGTTTGAATTCCTTTCTGCTTTCACTTCCTTCCTCTTTTCCACCAACACAGTTACTTAAAGCACAGTTGTGAGGGATTGTTACTGTGCTATAGGATTATTCCTCACTAGCGTAGGTCTTTGATGGTTAACAGGCCATCTGTTTAGGCTCCTTGATGCTTTCACCCCATTTTTGGACAGAAGGTACCTGTGCAGCTGCCAGGTTATTGCCCTGGGTGAAGAAGGGCTGGTGGGAAGGTAGTGCCCACTTTCAGCCATGTGCTGCTAAGTTGAAGCCAGCTTGCACCAGAGACTTCTGTGTGCAGTTGTGGGACTTTTCCATCTAATGCTGCAAATGCAAGGTTCACAAGAAGGATTCCTTTCCTCCCTGTCTTGGCATTCACTAGGCATTGTTGTGTTATTGACACTTGCTGTGCTGCTCTCACACCTTTCTTGCTCTGGGGCTTCCTGTACCAGATGTGACTGCTTGGGCTGCTGGTCTGACCCACCCATCAGCTACGCCTGGCTGGATGAGGAGGGAGCACTGTGCTCTTAACCAGCTCCCCTTTCATAGTGGGTGAGGGAGGCCACCCTCTGCACCATGTGCTCTGCCCTCCCTGCATGCCTCTTCCCTTGGGCACTGCCCAGCCACAAGACAGGCTGAGGATTTTCAGCCCTGAGCGTGCACCATGGGGGTGGAGGAGCTTGTGACCTGGGTCCTGTTTTCTCCCTTCTTCCTAGTAGGCCTCCCTGTTGGTTTAGCAGAGTTGTGCTCATGTAACTAGAAGCCTTTGATGACACTTGGTCTGACCTTCCCTTGTCCCTAGATACTTGTTGGGAAAGTATTGAAATAAGCCTAAGTATACACGTTTCTCTGCGTTTGGGGGAGGTGCGCTGGAAGTCCTGCAGTTGTGTTGCAATGTCACCTGAGTGTATCACTTCAGAATATGCTACTGTGCACACAGACTGAGCAGCTCACCTGCGCTCTCAGTAGGTACTCAGGAACTCGTCTGGGACAACTCTGCTTTGTATTCCAGCCTCTGGCACTATGAAGGATGGTCCTTCCATTCCCAGCATCACCTCTTGGCTTTAAAGCCCTGTTTGTGGGTCGTGTTGCTCCACAGCCCTCCATGTGTCTGTGGCAGGAAGGTGTTCCATGCCCCTCATTCACATGAGTAGGGCGTTTCTTGCTGATCCAGTTGTGATTTTCTCAGCCTTTTTGTATAACTGTCAGTGTGTGATGGGCAGTCCTCTCCAGAGATACAGATACGCATCACTAGAAAAATCATTTTCTACAAGACATGGCAAGACCTATGAGCACTGCTGCAAGGCGTGAGTTTATCGGAATTTTTCCTTTAACCCTTTTCTTTCTCACTCTTCTGCAGGGCAAAGATTTCTGGTCTGAAGCAGAGGGTGACAAGAGCTGCTGTGTCTCTGAATCCATCATGGAACAGGTCAGTTTCAAACATGACTGGAACAGGTCAGTTTCAAACATGACTGAAATCAGTGTTTCACAGTGACCATTAGTTCTCTTGTGCACTCGTTCTGAGATACCTCAAAGGGGCTGGCTCTCAAAAAATGCTGGCTCATGTCCTTCTCATCTTCCCCAGAGTTCCTGCAGCAGCCCTGACACTGCTTCTCTCTGTCAAGAATACAGACAAAAAGTGGATGGAACCACTTAGTTTGCAGGCTGCTTCCTTGTTACTTCCCAGTGTGACGTTCTGCCTTTAAATTCAGGCTGGAGGTGTAGCTATTTAAGAGACTACATTGTTTATTGATTAAGCTGCAAACTACTAAAACTAATAAATCAAATTAATACACACTACTGTTATCAATTTATTGCACTGTTTTGTACAATATTAAACACAATTATGATGCTACTATTTATCACACTTTAATCTTATTAACTACATTGAACTGGTATTGATCATCCTCCCTACCTAGTGTTAGGGTGCAGTTCTAACCCTCTTTGCTCTGCCCTCCCACAAGCCTTTTGAACATTAACGTGATGACTAGTTCAGTGGGTTGTTCAAGGGGATTGCCCCTGTTGTCCCAGTGAACCTGGGTCACCAGGTGAGCTTCACTACTGTCTGTAAACATCCATGCTCAGATCATGGAAGATGTATCTTCTGTTGATCTTTGATCATATGCCTTATTGTTCATTTGTTTCAGTTTCTGGACTCTCCTTTTTGTTGCCTTTGTTCCTTCCTTTCTCTGCCCAGTCTCCCTTAAGTAAACAACCCATCCTTAATTACTTGCATTTGTCCCAATTTTGTCTAGACAGTATGGGACCTGTATGATATTACTGATACAGTTATGTAGATAAAGGTGGCCTTGCAAGGTGCCACTCCCCCAAAGGTGCTGAAACTCCCTTTCAATTAGCAGGTTCATCCTAGTTGCATTTTGATTACCCTATGCAGTTGGTGAGACAAACCATTCTACTTTTGCCTTGATTCCTCTCCCTAGTTCCAGTTAAGCCTAAGCATTCTCTTACCTTATAGGCAGACAGTCTGCCTGCCAGAGTAAGGATTTTTTCCTCACTTTATTTCTGTGCTTACACAACATCCTGCTCTTGGCTGCTTCACTAAAATTATTAGATGGTCTCCTGGTTTTCTACAGAGGCCTTAGTTGGTTATGAGGCCCCATGTTCCAGTAGGACCTCTTGCTTACATCGGTCTGACCGCCTCATGGAGCTCCTCAGCCTAACTAATTTGGGCACTGTCCTTCCTTGCTTGAAGGCAGCAAGGTGCATGGCCATGGAGGCAGCATGTGCCTGTTTATTGGGGCGTGAATGTCCCAGTGTAGATGATACCAGACACCAGTGATCTGCCATCTCACTGTCATTTGTTCTTGTGAGCAGCTGTTTGACTCTCTACAGGGAGCTGAACTATTATGGAACTAGTCTAGATCCCTTTGAAAAGAGAGAAGAAATGTGAACCTTGGGGGTTTTTCCAGACTTATGGTGTTATCTCTGTTTCCCACCTTGTTCCTGCTATGCTCTGATTACATTTAAATGGAGAGCTGCTGGCTTTGTTACGCACAGGCAGTAGAATGCCCAATTCAAAAATACAGGGGTAAAAACCTTCCAAGTGCAGAAGTCTGAAGAGGGGGACGTGGGTGGTTTGTGCTGAGTACATATCTTGTTTCAAAAGAGGAGCTCTGATCAGGGTTTCTGTCATTGCCGCAGCTGGAAATGTGCAGAAGATGAGCTGACCTTACACCCCTGGTTTGTAAGAACAGAGCCATCTATCCTTCACCATCAGACAGTTCTGTGTGGGTACATGTCCAGGCATTAGTATGTATTTGCTGAAGTCTTGTGGACTCCCTGGCTAATGCTGTTCAGGATGCCCAAAGAAGGCCAGAAAAATGTGGTCAGGGTTGGAAAACAGCATGTGTGTAGACCTTTTCCTGGGCAAGGGCTTAACAATGATTTTCTTATGTTTAAGATCAATGGATCTGTCCAGATGGAGTGTGCGCTGCTGTATACCTTCCTGGAGGTATCACGCGACTGTAAGTTCAAAGAGCAACTGCATTCCCTGCAAAGCCAGGGGGTTCTGCCTTTCCTGAAAGGCAGCTACTACTATGATGATGAGGTAGAACTTCAGACTGATGGCAATCGGAGTGGCCACTTGCAGAATGGTGAGCTAGGTGAGTGGTCTTTTCTCCCTCCTACATGCCTCTCTGAAGGTGCTGTTTTTCTTTTCCCATCTTTGCTGCTAGTCTGTTTCAGAGGAGTAATGTTTTCTCTGCTGAGAAACTTCCCAGTGTGGCTGGTGGTGGTGGTTGGGATTTTAACAGTTGGGATAAGACTTAGCTTAAAGTGCTTAGCACTGTATCTCCCCATGGATTTCTAGAGCACCCATCACCCTGGGATTTTGTCTGAAGCACATCAGACAAGGGCCACAAAGCTGGTACTAATGATTGCTGCCCTGTGATATTAAGCAGTTAATTTAGGCCTCACACTGCTACTCAGAGAGCATCAGTACTTAGGCTAGGATTTTGGAAACAACTCTTGTTTTGGTACTGTTCCTGCTTCACTAGTCATCTGCAGGATGCTGTTGCCCCTTGTGCAGGATGTGTCATCTGGCATATTGACCTCCACCTAAGCAGAGTGAGGAGAAACTGCTCCCTCCTACAAATCTGCATAGGACTCATGCTCCAAGTGACAATGGGAAGCTTTGCCACAAGGAGATAGGATGAGGGATAATGGTTTCAAACTAAAAGAAGGTATATTCAGACTAGATATAAGGAAGAAATTTTTTACAATGGGAGTGGTGAAACACTGGAACAGGTTGCCCAGAGAGGTGGTAGATGCCCCATCCCTGGCAACATTTAAGGTTAGGTTGGATGGAGCTCTGAGCAACCTGATGTAGTTGAAGATGTCTCTGCTCATTGCGGAGGGCTTGGACTAAATGACCTTTAAAGGTCCCCTCCAACCCAAACTTCTATGATTCTATGAGATTTTGTATTTTAGATGGTGCTTAAGAGACAGGTCCTGACAGTAGTCACCTGAAAAAAATCATGCGCACTCTCTCACTTCCCCTCTCTAGGCAGGGTGTTGGCTGTAGCTGTCCTGTACAAATTTTGGTTGGAGATGTTCTAACCTCCCCTGTAGTGTTTTTGGGGCAGGACGAGGCTGCGCTTCACCTAAACTACAGATGATCAAACCTATTTGCACACTGTCTCTGGTGAATGAGTTGAGTGCACGCAAGGGAGTTGTAGTGCATATAGCTGTCACAAATGCACTGTGAAGGGGGGCTGGGTAGAAAGGAGGTTGTTAATGGAGATGGGCAAAGTGCTAGGGGTCAGCTTAACTGCACTGAACCTAGTCTGACTACAGCCTGTGAACTAAATCCTGCTGTTTGTGTTTGAAGTTTTTGACCCTGAGATAAATGAAGAAGTTGTCCGGATCATTGCTGCTCAGCTCGCTGAGATTGGAGACCAGTTTGATAAAGAAATCAAAGCAAGAGTAGTAAATGATCTAGTGCAGCACTTTCTGAATGAGAATCTGTCTGGAGAGGTGAGTGAAAAACAACCTAACCAGCAGTTTTGCTTTTAAATGTTGCGCATCCTACCTGCCCTGACTTTGAAGGAGCAAGCTTACAACATCTGCTGCTTTGCTAGTTTGCTGCTTTAATTATTGGAATTATTGGAATCTTTAAATTCAGCCCAAACACTTAACCTGTGAATATTTGTTAGGGTCTACAGATCATGGAAGGGGG